AAGCTCGGACGACCCCGTTGACTGTGTTCGGCTAACATTGTTGGCGATGCTTCCATGAATGAAGGCCTCCGGGGGCATAGCTTTCGTGCCTATGTGTTCATTTTCTACCGTCCATCGTCGAAGGCGTTCACGTATCGGTAGGCCGTTAATACCTCCAGTATCTGCAGCCCTACCGAATCCATCATTCAGCGGGTCGGGAATGTAGGATTTCCCGTGGGGGGTCGAGCTCTGCGTTGTAGCCCATTTCTACAGATGCGAGAGATGCGTAAGTACTGTGCGGGAAACATGTTCATTTGCATATCTGTTGAGTACTAACTCTATGTGACGCTGGATAATGGGCGTCTATGCGTCCCGTCAGGACAGGAAGCGTTCCCTTGGGGGAAATGGCACGGCGAGCTAGACAGTTCCAACACACATATGACTGTCTCGAGTGCCGTAGCATGGCGCCAGCTGGTCGAGTTGGATGTCGGGACAAAAAAGTGTCGCGTCGCGCCCAAGCGGGAACACAAATTTGTCTGGTTGGTGGTTTTGGATCAACCAGCTGTTAGTGCCTGACCCCACATTGACCGTGTACGGAGTAAGGCAGAAGGCAACTAACCATGCATTTGGTACGGGGTGCTGATCGTCAAGCACTCCCACCAGACATATGTCTGTAAATACTTTTGCGGTAGCAGTCAATACTAGCTGAATTTGTCACCACCACACCCAGCCGCGCAAGGCTGTTGTCGTTGATTAACTTCACAATGGCTGCAAAAATACCATCTCATCAAAACACAACGCACATGGCATTGCAGCATCACAAGGCATCGTTTTTATTATGCCAACATATTCAGGCCACTGAATAAGTCATCTAGAGGGTTCAAACTGTGGTTCAAATTGTGTTGGAAGATTCGAGCCAGGCTGTAAGCTAGCTAGCTAAACCTACGGAAAGGTGGCCCTTTCGATGCCTGCTGAATTCCAACGATAAAGGTCTCAAATACAATCAATGGCCAAGTCCACATTCAACGCGATTCATAGCTTCCAATCGTGATATATTAATACTTTTAATCTATCCCCTTGTCCACAGGGATCATCGTACAGGGCCCGGAGCGTCCCTTTACAGAGTCACAATGGGGCAGCCAGGATGCTTTGGTTATTCAGGATGATGATATTACTACTGAATTTGAAGCTAAAATGAACCAGGCCTTAAAAAGTGATAGTTGCAGGCAGCTGCGATGGATGATATCATGCGACAGCCTGTACAGATGATAGATATTTCGGGATAGCTTCATTTAGATTGACCAAATCCCGCAAAGGCGCGACTCTGCAGACAACTAATACGCTAAATCGGCCCCCGAAATATGCTGAAGCGAAGAACAGCACTGGCTAGTGTCTTGACTTCCACCACCTCGCTCTCCAGTCCAGTCGTTCCAAGCTTGAAGCGTCAATTCATGAGTCCGGCGGTGGCAAGACACACTAACGTCTCCCAGAACTTGTCATGGTACTCGTAGTGCACACAATTTACATTCTCAAGTTTAGTCACATGCTAACTATCATGTAGCCTGGAATTTTGTTTGGGAGCTACATTTTCCAGTCCATCGGAGGCTACAATCAACGGTATGGCGCAGGTTCTCTATTTTGTGCTTGTACATTGTATTTGGTATGTTTCCTAACAAGAGAAGCTCTAGTCACAAGTACTTGGGCAACGCATAAAAGTGCGTAGCCCAGCTAACAAGAAGATTGAAATAGCAATCAAAATTTTCCCTTAAATGTCATTGATACTTTGTCACTGGACGGTATTGGCCTCGGATATAAGTACTACAACTTTGCACAGTCCTGCCAGTTCTCCCCTCTCTTCTCTCCACAGGCGCCCACGGGATGCTCTTTAGTACTTAAGTACTGTTCTTTACATAATGACCGGCCAAGGGAAATGGAGTTCAGATATTGCTAAAATGAAATAAATCCTCCTGCTGCAAGAGTGGCTTTGAATGATGCCAATAAGTATATCCGAGGCCAAAATCTTCCCATGCAATCTGGATTAACGGGCCGTCGCGACTTCTTGTTTCTTCTTCAATCTGACGCTGGGTGCTCTAGATCTCTGAGACTGCAGGCGTACGAGCAGTCCTGGCGTCACTTTCAGTCCAAATGCTATGGCCTCGACTTTTGTGTTGTTAAGCTTACCCGAGGAAATGACTTTGAGAAATCCCGGCACGATATTGCTGCATCTTTTTTCTCCATGTCCTCGTGATCTAACCCGATGACCACCCTGATAGGTACATAATATTTAGTCCAGAGCCACACAGTGATGTGATGACATCGCAATGGCAAATATACTCTGGCACAGACTGTAGGGTCAACAGAGTGGAAAGACCTGTGGATTGTTTTTTGCAGGGCGAGATCTCGACCGACCTGAGCTTTTAGCGTCAACATTGAATGCTGCCCCCGCTGTCCTCGCTGAAAACCACGATTGAGCACCTCCAAGACGTCTGCTGTTTATGAGCCATCGCTTCTCAATAAGAAATTGTCGACAGCCTCTTCCAGGTCGTAATGGCTTCCCAGTACATCCACCACAGTTACCCGTGCTGCGTCACATGACGCTGAATTGGCTTGGTTGTCAACAACTTGTCACGGCAAGAGCGGCCACAAAAACTGGCAGCTGCGTCCTGGGCGGCCCCAAGATGTGAGTGAGCCAAGCGAAAACTGACACCTGGAGAGCGTCGAAATAACTCAACAATCATCTGCGCCGAACAGTGTGTTATTGAGGCACTTGTCTCACCGTTTTGTCAGTAGTTTTCAGCCATAACTCGTCGCATTCCATCGACGGCAATAAGATCTGGAAACACCCAGATTGCCCTTATCCGCATTCCGATCATCGCAAACCACCCACAGTGCCAAGCCACCTCGGCCGACATGCAGACCCAGGAACAACTATGTACATAAAACAGTACAGCACTAGTAATACAGTATGTTGTTATGTTTGCGGGTGAGTATTGATCGTTGGCTACATTTGTTTATTTTGAACCAACGGAAACAGACGTGCAAGGTACTACGCGATACTTCGCCCCATCAGACCACCAGCAGATGGACAGTTGGCCCTTTACGAGAATCGGTGTCGTCCCAATGAGCCACTGGTAATTGTTGTGTATTACGGGGCCATTCTCATATAATAACCCGCGCCTGCCAGTGACGAATGATATGGCACGACCGAGAGCAATTATCCGGTTCATAGGGGAGCAGCGCCAATCCTGGCACTGCGCTTACCCATCTTGACCGACAGTCGGACATGTGGTAATGAGTGAGGCGTGGCGCCCCTTTAGCAAAAAGGAGAGACCCGGGGTTTTCTAGAAATTAGGCCAGAGACCAGGCCGGGTTGTACTACAGAGAGTGCTCGGCACGAAATATCATTTTTGCTAAGGCTGCGCCTCAGTGTAACCTGTACGGAGTATTATAAGGACGGCAATAGTAATGCCATTGCCCATGTGCGACAAGGTCTCGGAAGCGAGAAACTCGGGGAGCCGGTATGGAGTAGTATTCGCCGAGAAGTCAACACATCCACCAATCTCCCCAGACTAAGAAAAGAAAGAGCGGTATAGAGTCTGCGAACATCGTCAGGGGTTCGATCATCAATCAAGTCATGAACTGCCAGGAAAGGCATCAAAACGTATCGGGAGAGGTGATTCTAGATTTCGGCAACAAGAATGAATACTGGAGAATGGCCAAGCCACGAACCAAGTTGGACTCCACAGAGGTTAATGTTGGTTGACTCGGAAAGCCGTGGTGCCTGGTTCGTCTGGTCGAATGTTGGTTGGATGCAGGAACAATCTCTCAATCAATCAACACGGGTTCTAGCCAGAAGAGGCAAGAGATCCTCGGCAGACAATAACGCTTAGTAAAAACGCCGACAGGGGAACAGGGAATGAGGTGAGTGTTTTTTTTTGTATGTTCATCAATGCTGCAACACCAGCACAAAGCAATTTCCCACACTATGCTGAGAAACAACCACTGTCAAGTGCGAAATACAGAAGCCAAAGCAATAACGAATGAAGCGAAAGAACTCATCTCCGGCGACGGGCAACGTTGGCCATTCATACAACAGGGCTATCTATGCCCCTACCCCTTGGAGTTGGCGCCAAGTTGCAAGGCGATATTGCGCTCCATCTCATTTCACTAAAAAAGAAGTCGACTAGCCAAATGGCTGCTCATTTCCCGTGGCTGAAGAAATCCTGGCTGTGGCCACAGCCCGAGAGGGATTCATCGCTGACGATAACCCGGCCGTCCGCGCGCAAGTCGCCCAATCCGCCAACTCACCCCCAATGGCTGGTGACTGGTGACGGCCCCCTTCAGGCTAACGAGCCAAGTGGACGGTGGAAATTAACATCAGTATCGAGGACCCACAATCCCATATTAGGACGCTGGCAATGGCCAGCTGGCAGGGTATGTGCGTGTAGTCGTGTGCAGACGGTGAGCACCAGACATCGGCTAGGCCTTGTTGGTTCCTTACCCCTGTCTCCAAGTGCGCAGGTACACGTCTGGTGCCTGGCAGTTACGTGCTGTACCTGACTAGTCGCCGTTCCGTCGCGGTCAGATTGGGTATCCGTGGCCCGGCCGGCTCTTGTGGCTCGTCTAGTGGATCCAGGAACAGGAACAAGACTAGACTAGACTAACAGGACCAGACAGGACGAGCCCAGAAGCCCATGTTGTCGAGTCCGCATCGAGCCCATCGAGCCCATGTCATCAGAGACACCCAGCCCGCCCGAGCAGCCTGGTCTGATGGTCGGCACCACCCATCTCCGCAATCAATAATAATAGCTATGTCCCCGGCAGCATCGAAAGACCGCTCCTCTCCCTCTCTCCTCACGCACCTGCCGCCCATGTCGAGGTCGTAACAGAAAGTCGTGCACTTCAGCTTTCGTCCTTTCGTTCACTTCCATTCACCCATCTACCGCTTCACTCTTTCAGCGGGCATTCTTTTCCTTACTTTAACGAATCGAAATCTTCGACAAACATCACTTATATTCACAATGAAGGGAGAGTTTGTTGCCGCCGCCCTGGCGGCGTTGGCCAGCGGCGTCTCGGCCGCCCACCACCGTCATGCCCACGAGCACCTTTTCAAGAAGGGTCTGAATGATACCGCCGCCGTGTGCACTCCCGGCTGTACTACCATCTGGAAGACCATGACTGGCGAGCCTACGCGTATGTGGCATGCCAATTGAGCGCCGCCGCCTCGAGGAAAAGGCGAGATAAAGGCCAATATCACTAACACGATGTGAATAGTCGTCGCACCCTCCACCAAGACCCAGACTCAGATCCTCACGGTCACGCCCTCTCCCAAGACTTCTTCTATCCAGGCACCGCCTCCTCCCCCTCCGACGACCCAGGCTCCTCCACCACCGCCTGCCACCACCGAGATTGTTGTGGTGCCTACTCCCGTGGTTACTACGTGCCCGACCCCCGGCACCTACACCTTCCCGGCAACGACCGTTACTATCCAGAAGACTACCACTGTCTGCGATGCCACGTCGACCAAGGTTCCTTCTGGTACTCACACCATCGGTGGTGTCACCACTGTCGTCGTGACGGCCACTACTGTCACCTGCCCCGTCGCTACTATTCACACCAGCGGTAGCGTCACCACCAGCACCATTGTCCAAACTACCTACGTCTGCCCCAGCGCTGGTACATACACAATTGCTCCCATCATCACCACCGTCAGCAAGGAGACCGTCATCGTCTATCCCACTCCTGCTACCTATAGCCCAGGTACCTACACTGCTCCGCAGCAGGTTGTCACTGTCACCAAGACCGGCTTCGTTTATATCTGCCCGCTGACCAGCAAGGGCCTGACAACCTCAACCCCGGTTTCAACTTCAACTCCCGCCCCGGCTCCCACTTCTGTCAAGACCCAGGCTCCTCCCCCTCCCCCCGTCAAGACCACTGAAGCTCCCAAGAAGTCCGAGACTCCCCCTCCTCCTCCCGCCAAGACCTCTGAGGCTCCCAAGAGCTCCCAGGCTCCTCCACCCCCGAACAACACCGGTGGCGATCTGGTCAGCAACAATGACCACTTGGGAATGACCTACACTCCCTATGTTGGCTCCACTGGTCAGTGCAAGACGGCCGACCAGGTCGACTCTGATATTTCGTCCATCAAGAATGCCGGTTTCTCCGTGGTTCGAGTCTACTCGACTGACTGCAACACATTGGAGAATGTCGGTAATGCCTGCTCCAAGTATGGCATGAAGATGATTGTCGGTGTCTTTGTCAAGAGCTCTGGTTGCAGCATCAATACTCCCGATATCAAGGAGCAGGTTGACAAGCTCGTTGCGTGGGGCAAATGGGATATTGTCGTGCTCCTGGTCGTCGGTAACGAGGCCATCATGAACAACTACTGCTCCCCCGAGCAACTCAAGCAATTGATTACTGACGTCAAGGGAAAGTGCTCAAGCAAATTCAGCGGCAAGGTCACCATCTCTGAGACTCTGAACATTTGGCAGCGCGAGGACGTGTCCTCCCACCTGTGCTCCGAGGTTGACATTACGGGTGCCAACATTCACCCCTACTTCAACAACGGAGTCGCTCCTAGTGAGGCCGGTCAATTTGTCAAGGGCCAGATTAGTATTCTTCAGAAGATCTGCAACAAGTCTGTCATCACTCTGGAGGTCGGATGGCCCTCGGGCGGCCTGGACAATGGCCTCGCCGTGGTCGGACTCGATGCGCAGTCCATCGCTGTCAAATCGATTCGCGAGCAGTGTGGTAACGAGGTCATCTTTTTCTCTTTGGAAGACGACCGCTGGAAGCAGAAGGGCAGCTGCGGTTGCGAGGACAGCTGGGGTCTCGGTAAAGCTTTCAACATCTTGACTTCATCGTAAGAGAAAAGATGACGACGGTTAGCGCTGCAGGTGCCTCATACAGCAGGCGCATGCCTCTAATGTCCCGCAACGAGGCTCCTCTAGGCGAGCCCTCGCCGAATGTATATGAGCCAAACAGTGAAAAGAGCCCAGTCCGATCCGGATCATACAAGAGCTGCATCAGAGGCGAGACATGTGCCACTTTTGTCATCCATGGACGCACAATGGGTGGGATGGAAGGCAAAAGGACTTGATGATGGCGGATGAGGCCTTTTACTTTTCATCTTTCCATTTACAATTTTTTTTCCCTACGTTGATGGAGTCTCTGGTGTTTATTCTTGTGACAAGCAACATATTTGGATCTTTCTTTGTACATTAGCATCTGCTTCATAATGCCATAATTCATTAGCCTCTTTGGGATGAGCTGTATTTTGAAGCTGGAGACTTGAATATATCGCTTATTGATGATATGGTTCCTCGTGATGCTGGTCAATCTGTACTATATCTGAAACTAATCAAGATGGTTCTCGATGGTTGAACCAAGTTTTGCAGCCGTCAGGTACGGCACACGGCCTGGCGCGGAGGGCTGGGGATCGAGATTAGGCCAAGGCGTGCCCGGCTCGTTTGCGCAAAAAAGAAAAGAAAAAAAAACAAGGCCAAGGTTGCTTGGATTCAGCTGGGCTGTGGTTCCTGCATGACATGCAACCCATGACTCGGCGCGACCGCGTCCATCCTTGCGCTGTTGTCTAGTACTATTGACGTTGTACATATGTACTACTAGTATTTATTGAAAATGCGGTTTACCTTGGCAGCGTCCAGCAGGGGGGGCCGGCACCAAAGAAACAAGGTTTTTTGTTGTTTTGTTCTTTCCGCCACTGAAGCTTGTTTTTCTTCAAGCGGCCCTGTGAAACGCGGTCTGGTGGTGCCCTTTTTTTGTCCCGGGTCCATTGTGAAACGGGCCAGTGGAGGTGGGCGCGCGCGCAGGGCTGGCTTATGGGTTCGAGCGGGAAGTTTTTTTTTTTTTTTTCGTTTTGCATCAATGTTTCTACATGCGTGTTGGAAGTTGAAGCGGTCTGGTGGAGCGCCAGGTTGTCTTTGCTTCCCATGTCCCGAGGTATCGAGGATGGCTGGAGATCGGCGGTTGGGTGTTTATGCGTGGCGGTCTGTGGGGGGTTTGCTGGCATGGCGGCATTGGTTGTTGTTTGCCCCGGGAGATTGGGCGACGTGGATTGGTGAGTGGTTTTTTTTTTTTTTTTTCCCTGTTCGTTTATGGCCCTTGCGCCGAGGTTGGGTTGTTTTGGAAGGGGGATTGCGGTGCTTTTTTGTTTCTGGGCCGTCTGGGCATCTTGTTGACTGATACTGGCGTTGGGGAGGGCAAGACGCGAAGACGGCGTTTGTGGAGGGCGCAAAGGGTGCTCATTTAGAAGCAGAATCATGTAGTATCTAGGCATGGCGCCGACATACTAGATCAAAGTAGAATACAGTCACCTAATAAGGAACAAATATATGTTACTGTTCCTCCGTAGACTTGTAGCCAGGACTTGCTCTTCACAAGGCGAGGGCCTGTACCATCGATGGGGTTTCCAGAATTTCTCACAGGTGGTACCGAGACGGTTTGCGTCGTATTCCCGCCGTGATCTGTTGTTGTTTGGTAAAGCAAATACGATTGGCCCGGGAAGCACCATACGGATGCTACCACAACAGCTATATATAGCTCAGCGAATCTTCAGGCCGCATTGTCCCGTGGAAACAGCAGGGCTAGTACAAGGGGTCTGTAGATTCGAAACGACAAACCCAGCAAACAAACCCAGAACACGACCAGACACGTCCCTGTCAATCCCGAAAATCGGATCGTCGAGGTGGTAACCAACCAACTAAACGCCTCTCCCGAAAAACCAACCCAACGCCCTGCTGCTATCTTGTCCATCCTCCATTCTCCATGTACAAAAACCCAGGCTGCCAACTACTGCCCGTACACGATCCAAGGATGGCTGAAAACCAAGACATTGCAGATGGGAGGGTAAAAATGTACACAACTGAGAGACCCTTGCCGCCACAGGCAAAAATGCACAAACGCCCTTTTTCTCCCTGCGGAGCAAAAAAAAAAAAAAAACCAGACCTTTCCACGAGTTATAGATCCAGGACGTGGCGCGACGTCATATAGAAGCACCCCAGTATAAAGGACGCAGAGCTACGGAGCATTTGAAACCCATGGGAACTGACAGGCGTGATTATATCTTTTACCCCTATACATAAATACAAATCTCGGTCCTTCTACCTTGGTATGCCAGACGACCACCCTATATCCAAAATCCGCAGGGTAATTGCCCACACAATGATTCTCAATCAACCATACGACATACTCATACAGTCATCCATGGTAAAGAATGGGGAGGGCAACAAGGGCAAAACTGCTACCAGCAAATAATGCAATTAGTCACCCATGACGTCTGTATATGCGGACGCCCCTAACCTTCCAGACACATGAAGCCCGATACATATATATACATGCCTTTGTCCCTAACATCAAATGATATTGCAAAGACATACCGTCGTTTTGCCATCTTAGTAATAATGTAGCTCTGCGTCAACATAAAATGAGCCAGACGAGAGGTGAAGCCAGCTTCCCTGCTTTCGACGGCGAATGTCATGTGTCATGTGTATTGCAAATGCATCCCAGGGACCAAGACCATCGTGGGAACATTCAACGCGTAGACACCACGGCGCCGTGTCGAGTAATTGCTAATATAATGAAATCAAAACATGCAATGAGCTAATGTTGCCGAGGGAAAATGCCTAGAAAAATGATTCAGGGGGTATAAGGCGAAAAAAAAAAAAGAAAAAAAGGCATCAAACGTGTAAGGCTCGTCCGTCAGCATGATATGCTGACAGCGTGGACGACAATGTGTTAAACGTATAAGTGAGGAGGATGTCATGTATCGAGTTTGTCTGGTCTTGGTCGGCTCTGCCATGGCGTCATTAAATATAAAAAGGCATAAAATAGGACAGTGTCATGATGCTATTAGAACGGCTCAAGGTTCTGTTCATATAAAGCCGATCTGCGACTGCGGATCCATTTGTCCTGGAATTGTTGGTTATCATCATCTGCAAAATATCGGTAGCGCAGCACCCGGCGCTGTTCTAAATTTTCGAGCAGTGGCTCTGGTCGGCGTCCACATCGCTCCAACTGCAACAGACCGCCACGGTGTTTGTCACAGCAGAGAATATTGACGTTTTGCCCGTCATTGGCAAATGCAATGCCACAAATTTCACCAAACACGTCAATGGTCTGCTTGGACCCAAACGTTTGCGCATCGATAAAGTTGATGTAATCTGCTTCCTCAGCTGCCACTAGCACCGGCTTGCCACTTCCAAGGGGCGAGAAACAAAGGCCGCGGACGCTGGCCATCTCCGATCGAATAGTGTACAATGGAGTGCTAATGCCGCTGGAGTTGCACCATCTACGCGCATCCCATATCTTCACGCCACGATCCTGGAAACCGGTTGCTACTGTCCGCCCATCTTCGGACCAATCGCAAGCAAAACCGTAGTCCCGATGTCCCTCAAGCCTTTGTAGGATTTCACCCGTGTCTGCGTTTGTGATGAGAGCCTCGGGGCTATCACCAACAAGTACACGAAGGCGGTGATCTGGAGATAGGGCTGAGCAGTTGAGAGCAAATGGGTATGTCGTCTCCGAAACAAAGTGCTCTGTCCCGATATCCATGACTCGGAACCCGCAGTCATTGCTGGCAATGGCTGCTACTGGGCCACAGGAGCGGCGAGGTCGGTATAATTTGATATGATTCGTGATTCCGTTAAAGTCTGACGTTATCTGGCCTTCGCTGAACTTTGACTTGTCGTCACACTCTAGGGACTTGAGGTAATATTCACCACCAAATGTTCCACCCATCAAGACTCCACAAGCCGCATCCAGGCTTGAAAGTGCGGCGCCATTTGCTGGGAAGTCACGCGTACTCATGACGGCATCGGTAGTCCGAGAAACTGTATTCATCCTATTCACACCTGTCGGACTGGGATAATAGGCGTGTGTTCGTGAAGGGCAAGCTAGAACATTTCGGAGCTGAAAGTGAGCAAGATGAACGTCTTGTCGAATGTTCATTCTTGCAAGTCGGAAGAAACTTTCACAACAAGGAATGCCCTCATCATCCATGTGAGGCTACATTGAAATATTAGCAAACATGCAGGGTGGGATGCGTGACAGTGTCATTGCGGCTTTTGCACATACGGCTAATATATCAGACCCGGGGTGGTTGACGTAATTTTTGTAGGTGCGACTACGCCTCGCCCTCGCATTACTCCGGGTCGTTTCCATCATTTTCCAGTTTAAGCCCTGGATATCACATTCGTCGCCATGGAGATCTGAATACCTAATCTCCTTGATGGGGGCAGCAGCCTGTTTTATGACTTGGCTAAGATGTGGTGGGCGAGATCGAGGGCTGTCAGTGAAACTGCCTTGATACACCCAATTTCGGAGAAAGTCAATGAGACCAAGGTTTTCGGCTCCAGGAATGGTTGGATTTGGATTGCTAAGCTGGACAGGTGGCAGAGTATCATTCGAATCATGGAACGCAGTCATGTCCACTTCTGGTGCCGGAAGAACCCCAGGGCCATTTGCGCCAGCCCATGTCTGGGGAGGAAATTCCGTGTCCATCATGAACGCGGAGCCGTAAAGGCTATGCAAATGCAAAGGGAGGTTTGGAGGGCCGTTGAAGTTGAGGTATGGGTCGAAAGCCTGGGCAGGGAGAGGCCCATCGTTGTCCGAATCCTGATCAATGTCAAGTTCCCCGTCGCTGTCGTCGCTGCTGTCGATGTAGTCGTAGTCAAGACCAGCCGCTGCAAGATGCGAGCCAGAATAACCTTCAATGCGGGCAACGGACGACGAAACTTGGTTAAGGGACACGCCACCGTCAATATCGCTCATGCCCTCATCATCATCATCATAGTATTCTGGAGATGGCGAACGATGTGACTGATCAGGGGGGTGGGCAGCAGGAATGCAA